ACATTTAAATGAACATGCACAATCATAAAAACACAGCATTTTCAGTGTGATCATGGCAACAGTTCTAGCCTCTCTTACCCACTGTGACAGGCCATTCTGTGCCTATGATGCATCAGAGAAGGGCTAATCCTCATGCTGTTGGACCCCCAGATGAGGAAAATCCCCTTCCTGCAGAGCCCCTTACACAGAAATCCGCATTATTCCTCACTTAATGGATTAGATATACCTCCAGCCTACACAAGGAGAAAGAGGACTTGCAGAAGTGCCGCAAAGGCAAGGTGCAACAGAAATATGCCGATGAGAACAATGTTTGTTTACCTGTCAAAGCATCCATTAGGTCTACCACCTTCAGCAGTTAGCAACACTGTTACTGGAAAGCCCATTTGGACCAGTGCCAGACTTCCACTGCAAGAAACGGTCTAGTAGCTATTAAATGTGCACACTCCTTAAATTGCCATTTTCTCAGGCAGACAAAATCAATGAAGCCCTAAGACTGCCGATTTCCCTGCATTCAACTCTTTCACTTAGTATAGTGAACCACAAGGAAAATTCATACTGTGAGATCTAAACCCTCAGACAATTCAATGTAAATTGGATCACCTCTGTTAGCATTGACCAGATGGAGAGGATCTGTTTGATGATGGGAAGAAACGTACTTGTCCACGTGCCAAGTTGCCTATAGGGCATCAACTTGTAACAGCATGGGAACAAAAAGACTGTGTTCAATTTGGATTCATTTTTATCTCAGCCAAAGTGAAACTATATATATGTGCCAATATATCATTAGAAGCACAAACAAAACACCCTTAAACAGGCCACAACCAGTTTCTCCATCATCTTTCAAAGCCTAACCCCATCTTGATTTTCTTTATTATTTATATTATATGATTATATATATATATATATACATATACAAAATATATATATATATATATTATATATATATATATATATATATATATATGCGCACCATCTTTAAACAACACGTAAAATTAGACTAAGAGAACCTATGTGAAAATGTAATTGCCCCTTTAGTTTCTTAGGCAACAAATTAACCCAAATTAATTGATAATGAGATTTAGCTGAATGTAATGTTGAAGCTTACCATCGTGTGTGACACAGTCACCTAGGTTTTTATAGGCACACTGTGCCATTATTAAAAGAAAATCCAAAAGAGATGAGGGAAAAAAAAAGCTGTTGAAACAAATCAATCTGGAAAAGGTTACAAAAGCATTTCTAAGTTTCTAGGACATGACTGAGCCACAGTGAGACCCATTATCTACAAATTGATAACCCTAGAAACATTGGTGAATCTTCCCAGGACTGGCGGGCCCGCCAAAATTTCAAGTCATCCAGGAAGTCACCAAAGGTTCCAGGAGAACATACAAGGAATTGATTGTTTCTCTAGTCTCAGCTGAAGTCAGTGACCAAACTATGAGAAAGGGTCTGGGCAAAAGTGGCATTCATGGAAGTGCAGCAAGGCAGAAAACACTGATAAACAAATGAAACATCAGTGCTCGTCTCAGATTTGGAAAAATGAACAGCCAGTCTAAAGTGTACCTTTTTGGATAACACTGTTCTGAATTGTATTCTTTATCAGACAATTCCTAAGGAGTGTCTGCTCCTTTGTCCATATGCAGAAGCTGAAACATAATGGGTTTATGCAGCAAGACAATGATCCAAAACAGAAAACCAAATCCACACTTGAATGAAAGAAAAAAAACAAAATTAATATTTTGGAATAGCTTCATCAAAGTCCTGACCTGAACCCAATAGAGATGCTGTGGCAGGGCCTCCAGCGAGTAGGTCATGCTTGAAAATGATTAATTTTAATTAATAATTAAAAATGTGCTTTGTGTTTGAAAAGGTTCTCCTCGTCTGACACTACAGTTTGTTTAAAGATCTAAAAGCATTCACTGTGACAAATATGCAGTAACAGAGAAAATCAGGAATACTTTTTCATGGCACTGCATGGGTAATTGTAAGCAATCGGTGGATTACTGAACAAACAAAAGAGAATTAAGGTCACGATAAACGATCAGCAAAGCTCGATTTAAATCCTCTGAAAGTGTCTGTACCCTCTGCTCTTGTTAATGCCTAGAACACTGGCCTATGTGATAACAGAACGGACAACCGGAATCTCTAAGGTTCCAGGCTAAGAGAAACAGGTTTGTTTTCAGCATAGATCTGTTCCAGTAGATAATCAGGCAATTTTTGTATCTCAGATTTTGAAATAACTTAGTATGCCCAAACCAAAATGCCATGCCAAACTTATCATGCAAACAGACTGCTACACTGGGCGTCTCTGCAGGTGGCCTGAAAGCAGAGAGCTGACTCAGCGGCCAAACCCAGCGAACACATTCCAGCAGGTACACAACCATTATGTCTCATTTCTGTCACATGACAGAGCTGCTCTATCCCATCCCAAACTTCCCCCCTCTCCTGAGGTTTTGCAACACCTTCCTACATACTGTCAGCTGAGCGATGACGCTACTGAACAGAGCTCAGAGTCAGTGAGCGAACAGCAAGAATGCAGGCCAGGCAGATACAGAGACTGCATTCCTTAGCCCACTGGACTGAGGCAAGGAGACATGGGCCAGCTTTGATTTAAAAACAACCTGCTTTCTGGCCTACCTCGATTCATACAGAGAATATGAGCACACACAGGGGATACATTCATTCTGACTGTGCACATAATAACAAGTAAAAAGAACAACATTATGCAAAATGACTGCCAGTGTCAACAGGCTGTATCTACAAAAACGTGGCCTCTCATAGTTATCATGAGTTACCACACGCCCTCCACTGGTAGATTCATGGTAAAACACAGTAAAATCAATAATGCACAGAGAAAGAGGTAAACAAGTGCATAGGAGCCGTATGTAATGTGCATCATCCCGGAGCTGGAGAAGCGGTCTCTTAACAGCGCAACAGACCTTCTCTTAACATCTCTGCTGTTTCCTTCAGTGAACAGACAAGAATGGACATGCCCACTCTCACAACTACATCATATCCCAACAGGAAATGAGGTAAGAATGACTGAGTACTACAATGAGCTAATGGAAATTTCAGCTGCCATCTTACATATGAACCCACAAAGTGATTTATAATGATATAAAACACTAAAGACTAAAATCAGAGAGAGACAGAAAGAGATGGGGGGAGAAAGAGCGAGGGGGAGAAAGAGCGAGAGAGAGAGAGAGAGAGAGAGAGAGAGAGAGAGAGAGAAATCAGACAGACAGTCTGGGATAGGGAGACAAACAGCTGTTGCTATGGTGATGTCATCACTTCTTCCATACAGACATGTGAACTCTTTAACTAACACACACACACACACACACACACACGCACACACACACACTTAGAATTCTAAGACTACAATTTTTATATTTTTCATTCTGCAGTCCTTTTATTTGACATTTCAAATTTTATTTTTAATAGTAAATTCTTACAGCAAGACACTACAGATTAATAACAATGAATATCAGGTGACACTGCAGGTGAAAATCACAATGAATTAATTACTACGTTTATTTCGTTGTTCAGACTATTAACATCATATTCTTTTGTTTAATCAAAAAAAAAAACTGTGTTTCATATGTTGTTAAAACCCTTTTCAGGTCACTTTTATAATATACAGTTTAGAATAACTCCAGCTATGAGCAATATATTTGGAGATCCAGCTACAATATTCAGAATGAGGACTGAGTTAGCAATAAACATGTAAAATGTCATGAAAGCAGGTATTCTAGAAACTGAAATTGTAGAGTAAAACTGATTCTTTGGTTTTAAGAATGGGTTTCAGAACAACATCATTTCTACCTGATGTGTTCTGCCTTAAGCATTTCAGGATAGTTCCCTTCTTTTCTTTCAGTGCAATAATAATAGTGTCTCATAGAAATATCATATCCATCCAGAGTGTTTTTGTGAACTGCAGTACAGCATAATGAGATCTAATCACAATAATGAGGGCACATCAGCTCTTTGGAATGCTTGAAATACTTTGAAATACTGTTTGCTCCAGATTCATTTTGTTGACTTTATTTACATGTTAATTTTTATGACAATGTACTTAAAGTATTAAAATCTGTTAATGGCTCATTCTTTTGTAATAATTCATATATTTAAGTATAAATGCATTTGCAAACAGAGGACTGTCTTGTGATGACTAAAAACTTCTCATTATCTTTTTTTTAAACAGTAAAACAGTCAAGTGGGCATACTAAATATATCCTTATTAAAGTTGTATAAAGACCATAATGAATTTATAATGTTAGTGTCTCTAGAGCAATGCAGCACCTCAACTGTTCACTTATGTCTGTCCTTTTTTATAGCAGGACTTTGCACTCCCTGTTTTGTGATATTTTTAAAGTAAAAGGTAGAACTAACAATAACAAGTATTATTAAATATTTACATTTTACACAGTATTTAAATATTTATTTTTTAATAGCTTATATTACTGACAACTGAAAGTTAAATTAATCAAAAACACACTGTTCTTCAAATCTAAAATCAAATTTGATATCTTATTCCCAAACCCGAACCTTTTTTTTTTCTAGGAAACAGACAGGGGGACAAACACCGGTAGCATGTTTTAATGGTCCTGTATTTGTGGTATTAGGAGAAGCTTCTGCTCTTGCAGAACCAGAAACCGGCCTGCTTCATTTCCTGACTGAAGCTTTACACAAATACCAATTACAGACTACATACATCATGACATGAGCATGAACGAACTTCTGAAATGACCACTGAAACTGTTAGATATTATATTATATTATATTATATTATAATATTACCAGGGCGGCATGGTGGCGCAGTGGGTAGTGCTGTCGCCTCACAGCAAGAATGGCCTGGGTTTGATTCCCGGCCGGGCGACCAGGGTCATTTCTGTGTGGAGTTTGCCTGTTCTCCCCGTGTCTGCGTGGGTTTCCTCCGGGTACTCCGGTTTCCTCCCACAGTCCAAAGACATGCAGTCAGGCCAATTGGACATGGTAAATTGCCCCTAGGTGTGAGTGATGGTGTGAATGTGTATGTCTGTCTGTCTGCCCTGCGATGGACTGGCGACCTGTCCAGGGTGTATCCTGCCTTCCGCCCAATGACAGCTGGGATAGGCTCCAGCACCCCACCGCGACCCAGAAGGATAAGCGGTTTAGATGATGTATGTATGTATAATATTACCTTCTTAGAAAAGTCACAGGGTTGGTCTTATTGTCATCCCAAATGAAATGAAATAAATAAATGTGCCAGACAAAGGGCACAAATGTTGTAAGCTCACTGAGCTCATATGACCATCGCTGCGTCCAGGTGCTGTTACAGTATGGTTACTTCACTCTCTTCTGACACTGAACTCAGCTGAGTCGTCCTCTTTGTTGAGATGGCTCTCCACATACGACACACCATCCCACCTCTGTGAAAACAATTTTCGGCTTGCAAAAATCAGTTTATAATTTTTCTTTATACAGTGACTAAATAAAGCAATGAGTCACAAAAACAACTGTGATAAAACCACTGCAGCCCACAACCCCCAGTACTTTTGTAAAGCAGTGATATAAGCTCTCTGGACAAAAAGTGACATGCATTTTTTTTTTCAAAACTTGGTTTTGTGTGCCCTCGTCTTAATGACAGCGTCAATCGTGTCAGCTAAAGATTACACCACTCTTCCACAGGGTGCACATTTCAGAGTTTATGTTTGCCTATTTCAGCATTTCACCTGCTGTTCAACATTGAGAATTCAGATTGAGCTCTGGTATTTTTGTTAATCAGTCAAAGTGGCCCACTGTACCATCATATCTGTTGAACCAATTACATACAGACACCCTGCTGTTGTCATCCTGGAACGTGGGAGTTTCAATATTGTGTTCTGCTCAGACTAGAAGCACAAAGTTAGCAAAAAAAAGGTGACAAGTGTAATCCTTAGTTGACACTTCTGGTGTTAAGGCAAGGGGATGCTAAACCAAGTATTAGAGAAGAAATGATGCATACAAATATTTTTTTGGCTGGAAATCTTACAATGCAATAAGATAAATTACACTGGTGTTCAACAAATTATTTAAATGACTAATAATAACAACATTTGCAATAAACGATTCTTCTGCCAGGCAATGTAGTTCATGAAAGAGTAGGCTAGTTACCAAGCATATAATGCTCAAAGATTATCCTATGAATGACAAAATGTCTTTTTAACTTGGTATATCATTTTTTTTTAATTCTATAGTTATGATGGTAAACAAAGGTCACTCAGAGAGGTCTGACGTGAAACGGACCATTCTAGAGAAAGTTATCAGAGTTAGAACTGTTCACAGTATGAACCAGATGTCCAAAAGTCATTCATGGAAGAGTTTTTTTAGGGTAAAACAGTACCCAAAAAATGTTTTGTCAGATATACCACTATTTTACTACTATCCTCTTTACTTAGAAAACTCAAAAGACATGGGTAGGTTCACTGGTCATTCTGGAAGGCAAATAAAATGACTATATTTGCATTGCAGGCATCAGAATTTCTAGTTCTCATCACCACCACTAAAGTAATCAGAGTTGGTCTCTCTATAATGCACCATTTCACAGTAACACAGTTTTAATTTACTTATATTTACTTTTTTTAACTACTTTACCGTTTCCAAAAAAGTTGGGACGCTGTGAGAAATATGAATAAAAACAGCATGCAATGAAGTGAAAATCATTTAAATCTTATATTTAATTACACATAGTACAAACACATGTTGAAACTGAGAAATTTTACTGTTTTTTGAAAAATACATGCCCATTTTGAATTTCATGCCAGCAACATGTTTCAAAAAACCTGGTGGAACATCTCACAAGTTAATTGGCAACAGGTCAGTAACATGACTGGGTTTCAAAAGAGCATCCCAGAGAGGCTGAGTCTTTCAAAAGTAAAGATGGGGAGGGGTTCACCACTCTGTGAAAGACTGTACAGGCAAATAGTGCAACAATTCAAGAATAGCGTTTCTCAACATAAAATAGCAGAAAACTTCAAGATTTCATCATTTATGAGACATAACACCATTAAAAGATTCAGAGAACTTGGGGAGGTTTGATGTGCAATGGACAAATTCAAAAAACCAATATTGGCTGGCAGCACTGTAGTTTCTGTAGTGGAAACAGGATCCAGAAATGCCAACACCTTTTCTGGGCTAAAGCTCATTTAAGATGGACTGAGGCGAAGTGGAAAAGTGTCCTGTGATGCACTGAATTAAAATCTGAAGCTCTTTTTTGAAATCATGGATGCCATGTCCTCTGAGCTAAAGAGGAGGGGGACCATCTGTCTTGTTATTGGTGCACAGTTCAAAAGCCAACATACGTGATGGTACAGGGGTGCATTAGTGCATATGGCATGGGTGACCTGCATATCTGTGAAGGCCCATTAATGCTGAATGATATATAAAGCTTTTGGAGCAACATACGCTGCCTTCCAGACAACATATTTTTCAGGGAAAGTCTTGCTTATTTCAGCAAGACAACACCAAACTACATTCAGCACTTATTACAACAGCATGGCTCTGCGGTCAAAGAGTTCGGGTGCTAAACTGGCCTGCCTGCAGTCAAGACTTTCACCCACTGAAAACATTGGGCACATTATGAAACACAAAATTCGGCCAAGGGGACCCCAAATTGTTGAACAGCTGAAATCCTACAATCAAATAAGAATGGGATAACAATTACTTTCAAAGTCACAACAATATTGTTGTTAAAAGAGGTGATGCAAGGCAGCGATAAAGATGCCCCGTCACAACTTTTTGGAAACGTGATGCTGGCATCACATTCAAAATGGGTTTATATTTTTCAAAAACCAATGAAATTTCTCAGTTTCAACATTTGACATGCTGTCTTTGTACTGTTTTATAATATATATATATATATATATATATAAATATATATATATATATATATATATATATATATATATATAAATATAAGGTATAAATGATTTGCACATCATTACATTCTGTTTTTATTTACATTTTTTGCACAGCAACCAACTTTTTTTGGAAATTGGGCTGTACATCTGTGACTGAATTATGCAGAATTCAACTGATGTGTGTGGTCATATCTGTTTGTTTCATAAGCAAAATATGGCTGACAGTATGAATACATGCTCACTTGATGCCGCAGTATCTTAGATCATCTTTGCAGGCCATATGGAGAAGGCTGTCCAAGGTGAACCCGTGAGCTAGGAGCTGTAGGACAAGACACATGCATTCACCTTCACACAATAATGATGAGGTTTGCAAGCCCTGCAAAACTCTCTGTATGTCAGTGCTGAGTGAAATGTAAGAGAGCTGCACTCACTGTGCCTATGGTATGCTCATCCACTGGTACAGCCCTCAGCCAGCGCACCATGGCCGACGTCTGAGTGTTCTGGCACACAGGTTTATTACCTGTGGATATAATGACATGACATAACATGCTGACACTGTCTGAACTAATAGGTGTGGCCTTCCTCTGCTCTGTCTGATGAGAAGCTCATTCGAAACTTACACAAATAAAAAAAAATCTCCATTCTCCATAGCATCAAGTCAAAACTTTGTAGTGATGACAGTATAGCAAAGCAAGACAGAGGGAGGAAAAGGTGATGTTTTGAACGTGCTGCCTTACAGGATGGTGGTCTTAACAGAGCTTTCATTCAAAGCCTAATCAAACATGCATACAGGTATGTAATGTTTATCTATAAGAAGCCTCACTGATAATGTGTGTCCTCACAGGCAGACGATGAAACCTTAAACAGCTGAAGAGTCAGTATAACAAATTAAACAAAACTATCCTACTTTCATGGGTTACGCCTAACAGTAAAACATGTCTATTTCAACGACTGAATACTAGGGGTATAAAACACAAACCCTAAAGGTTTGGCTTGGACCTGGGCTAGGTGTGACTGACTAACTATCATTATTATGGCAAAATCCTACAGCTGTACAGGTAAGTGTTGTAGACATGCATCAGCAAGTGAGGGTGATCTAAGTGAAGGTGTATGCACCACACCTCCGTCTCACCTTTCAGGAGGCTCAGGTAAGAGCTTTCTTTGACACATAGATAATTCAGATATTAACATAGTAATATAACAAAAATCTAAATCTATCTTAAAATCAAAATACAGCCACTAAATGAAATAATGAAGACTGTAGGAGAGGAAAGACACACAACCTAGAAGAGAGAAAAAAAGAAGTTACCACTGCTCTCAGGTGCAGTCTTGACCTTGAAGGCATCTATCTCTTCTTGTTTACTTTGCATAGAGTTCCTCAGAAGCTCCTGGTACTCTTTCTCTTTTTCACTTAGCTGAGCCAGCAACCTGGAAATGTAAAAACATAGCAAGGCTCCCTTCAGATGTTTGCATTGTATTCAGTCACAGCCCCCTTCTGGTCATTTATGAGGCACTTGAAATACTCAGAGTGTTCAGATTAACTTATAGGATTTAGCAAACTCGTACACCCCAAGTACACCCTAAACACTTTAAAAAGGTGATTATTAATGGTTATGTTCAAGTTCCTTCACTAGCTGCATAACGTGTGTGTGTAATTAACGTGTATGTGTGCGCATGCTTAACAAAATTTATATTTATACATAAATTAACTTCAGTAAGCATTTATTTAATTATTCAAAAATCACTAAGCTGGGTTCAGGGTACCTCCTAGTCTCCTGGCATAACTGGCTAAATTCTTGGGCAAGAGGGCTGCAGGTGCTGAGAAGGCCATTGAATGGACTGGGACTGGCGGCCTCCACTGCATGCTTCTTCGGGTCCTGAGATGTTCCCTCATGTTCAGTGTGGGACTCTGGTTCCTGACTACTCTTTTTGGTCTCTTCTGATTCAGTAGAGCCCTCCTCCATTTCAAAGGATGACTGCAGCTGCAGCTTTAGCTCTGGGAAACACAACAAAGGGGTGTGAGGGTGATGGGAAGTGGCTAGTGAACGATGGACTGGCCACAAAGTCAGCATGTAGACTGTGGGAAGAGTATACCTGGCAGGAGCACAGTGATAGCATCTTGCACAGCCTGTCTGAGCAGGTTATCCAGAGCAAACATCCAGTGAGGCTTTACCTGCCGCTGTCGCAGCACCTTCTTTACCTACAGACATCATAGCAATACCCTCATTAAGTTATGAAGCAATTAAACAAAATATATCTTCTGCTGACACTGAGCCAGATGTACAAAAGATTTCATGATGCATTCTGACTGAGAAAAACAGATGTATTGTGTACAAAACTGGACTACAAGGCTAAATGTGCAATGTCTGACAACAAATGCAGCTAGAAATTGACAAGTAAATGTGCATGGCAGCCTTCCTGTAGTCATAAAATCTTAGGAGACACATTCAAGCTACATGGAAATCGTATATTTGTTTAAATTTGTGTCTCAAAGTCCACCTGTGATCCAAGACTGATGTTTATACCGGGTATGAACACTGTCTTAGTGGTAGCATCTCAAAAGCTGCTGGGAGTCTTACTTTAACAATGGCAATAGCATAGCAATGTAGACCAAGGGTGTCTAATCATATTTGCATATGGCTGGTGTGTTTGCAGGCTTTTCATGCAGTAAAACAGGCACACACATGATCAATTGTTCCAAGATGGTGACCAGCTGATTAAATGAGTAGAATCAGGTGTACTTTTGCTTGTTTGAAATGAAATGCTGTAGCCGCACTGGCCCTTTGTGGATAAAATTTGAGACTTTTGTTCTAGATAGAAGCACAGGCCTTGAACGTGTGCTGAAGGAATACAACTCTCAGAATTCCTCCCGAAGTTCATCTAGTGACTGCTATGGTGTTGTCTTTGTCTGAGTAAAATTACACCCCAGGAAAATATTTTGATGGGAAACAGTTTTTACTTTTAGCCCAAAGCTTCTTCACAGCTCGACTTTGCATCTCTCAAAAAATCTTAAATTAGTTGGCAGTCCCATGTTTGTATGATCAGCTAAACTGAATGTTAATTTCAGAGGCACTGTGAGCACATACTCCATCACATCAAGGCATATTTTATGCTATACTCTGTCAAGTATGTGCATCTGGTCGACTCTGCTCATTATACCAAAAGCACCACATACAGCATCTTGGAAGCTGAAGAGTGCCACCTGCAGGCTACAGAGAGGCACTGCATCAGTTTGCAGGCTGGAGCGGAGCTTCAGAAGCCTGTTGGTGAGCTGTTTCCTATCTGGGGAGCGGATGTTCTCTCGCAGGCAGCCAATCAGTTGCTTGATGTGCTCTGAGGTAATGGTTGGTTCCTCAGTCTGTGGTATGGGAAGAAACAATTCAACAACAGAACAGAACAAAACAGACAAACGCTTGCTAACAGCTCTTGTGTAGTAAAACAATGATTTTTACGGTGACTCTCTCTTGAAAGATTCTGAATCGATTCACAAAATGTCATAATCAGAGTTCTGCAATTCTTCCATGCACCCAGAGAAATTACAAATTAAGACAACTTTGCTGGCTTGGAGAAGGAAAAATGCAAGATTTTACTGATGCATGCATGTTTGCAGTCACAAACTGGTCACGAATTTCATGTACCTCTGTGAAGCTGGACCCCCATGTGCTCAGAATTGAATTAAAAACACTACTATTTATATGTGCTGCATTTGTGCTGGTTTGTGCAGTAGGAATCATCATTTGTGCTAGCACGGCTTTTGAGAAATTAAACATTATATTTTATTACCTGTGATGTCACGCAGTCCCCCCATCAATGTCTAAAACGCACAAAAATGGTCTCTATTGTTTGTGCTGGTTTGTGCTGTTAAAAGAAATTTTAACTCCCAAGTTATAAAACCATTATGTTTCAATGAGTAATGTCACTCTGCCCCCCAATCAATGTCCAAATGGCGCCAAAATGGTCTCGTTCGTTTGTGCTGCATTTGTGCTGCTAAAATAAACATCTGTGCTACTTAAATTCTCAAGATTTTAAGCAACAAGGTTTCACGTGTGATATCACTCAGCCCACCTCCCAATAGTCTCGCTCGTTTGTGCTGTGTTTGAGCTGATTTGTCCCATTAAAGGAAATATTTGTGCTGTTTTAATTCTTAAGTTATTGCATAAACAGTTTTTGTCATGAGCGACATCATTTACCACACAATTGACACTAGTTGACAAAGATCTGAGAAACTCGCTTTTGCCTCCTGAGTAGCCGCTGTCCCTGATTACAACAGTGTTATCTGGCTGAGTGGTGTCACTTTTTTGTAAACATCATGGCTTTATAACTTGAGAATTCAAAATAGCACAAACCAGCATGAAAGTAGAACAAATGAGACCATCTCTGTGCGTTTTAGACATTGATGGGGGGCTGACTGATGTCATAATAAAATATAATGTTTAATTTCTCAAAAATGGTACCAGCACAAATGACGATTCCTATGGCACAAACCAGCACAAACTAATAGTGGTATTTTTATTCCATTTCTGATCATATGGGGGGCCAGCTTCACAAAGGTATTTTGATATGAAATAAATAGCCTGAAACCATAGCAAAGACTACTGCTAATGACAAATACAGTAACAAAAAAAATCATATTGTGGAAATAAAAATAAATAGAAATAAAAAAAAATGAGATTCATCAAGAACTGTTTTATAATTGCATCTTGGCACTGTATACCTGTGGCAGTGACTCCTGAATGTTGCCCACTACATGGCTGATGTAATCAGTAAGCACTTTGTGCAGTGTGTTCCTCCTCTCACTGTCCTTCCTTAGCAGGAACAGGCCCATGTTCTCCCCCGAAACTGCTGGACTCGACAAGTCCCCCTGAGGCTCATCTGGCACTCTGGCACACCCACACACCAGCACACAGACACAGACAGACACACCACTCCAGTTACATTCACTGATGATTTGTGCAATGTGGTCAGGGTCAATATGTGAAGACAAGACATGCTGTTGTTCCTTAACTCACGCCAGGAAGCTGTTGGTGCTGGGAGGGCTCTCTGAGATTTCAATTTGTCTAACATGGAGCATAGATCTCCTTAGATCAAGGGAGCTGGACAGGTCAGTCCTATCAGTTTCCATGTCGTCCACATGTGTGACTAAAGGCACAGACAAGCTCCTGTGGTACTCTCCTACAACCACATACCACACTTAGTACATATTATTCTTATACTTACATAATCATCCATGATAATACTCTAGATTACCATGTTGTACACAAATATAAAGCAAGGAAAATTGTAAAAGAAGGACATTTGAGAGACAATATCATAACTAAATTACCTCAATATGTAGTTACTTACACTATAACATAAAAATCTTCATACAAAAGGAAGCCTAATTAACTCATACAGAAAACAGTGTCAACTTTGCTGTAGTGTTAAAAAGCCTTTTGGCTCACCGGATGAGCTGGCCTCATTCTCAGCTGAGTCTGGCAGTTGTTTGGCTCTCTTCCTGGGACTGCCCCTAAGGATGGGATTCTTCAGCAGCTCTGAGGCTGTGGCCCTCTTGTCCGGGTTAGGCTCAAAACAACACATTATGAAGGCTTTGACCTCCTCTGACATGGACTCTGGCACACTGGGGTGAATCTTAAACATGCCCACCTGTAATATATGTACGCTGCCTTAATACTCAGGTGATCATTTCTGTCACCGGATCACAACATGTCTACAATATGTAAACCTCCAACAAAATGTTGTATGCATGCCAATGAGAAAACTGCTTTTGTAGGACTGCAAAATTTAAATTCTAGTAACAGCACAGAGACAGCATTAATTCCAGTACCTTAAACATAGCGGCCTGTGGGCTGCCCAGCTCATGAAAGGGAGGTTTCCCTGTGGCCATCTCTATAATGGTACAGCCCAGGGACCAGATATCAGCTGGCTTTCCATAGCCCCTTGGGCCCTGGTCTATAATCTCTGGAGCCATGTACTGCAGAGTACCTGTACACGTTGGTAATAAAATATGTGGTTTAGAAAGTTTAAGAGGTTTATAATGCACACACAAAATAAAAAGCTTAATAGTCATTTAATACAGCATCCCTTTATAGAAAGTGTAGAGTTTAGACTTCAGAAAGAAAGCATACACTGTTTAAAGTAAAGACTTCCTTCCGTGTTACCTCATCCCCAGCCTCTCAGAATGGGCAACAGAACATACTTGATTTCTCAACAAAAGTATATACCACACACACACACACACACACACACACACACACACACACACACACACACACACGCATCACTGAAATCATGTCGTACAATGTTTTTTTGCACTTGTTCATGTTTTCACATGTACCACAATACTCCATATACCACACACCACTGAATGTCAATGTTTCTGTTGATATCTTTTGCACTGTCTTGTTTGTGCACCAGTGTCTTTGCGTATGTAAAAAGGAAACAAAAGACGTAAAGAGAAAGAGTGAAAAAGAGAAAGAGTAAAAAAGAGAAAGAGAAAGAGAAAGAAAGAGAAAGAGAGAGACAGAGAGACAGAGAGAGAGAGAGAGAGAGAGAGAGAGAGAGAGAGAGAGAGAGACAGACAGACAGATAGACAGACAGACAGACAGACAGTTCCTACGTATTGAATTTGGCTACACATGCCTGCCATGTCCTGACAGATCAAGGCCCATATTTATCAAACTCCTGACAGTAAAAATGCTGATCTGGAGTCAGCTTACAGCTTTTAAATGATACTGAACAGAACTACATAAACCGAAGAAACTTGATCTTAGATCAGTGCTCTTACTTTGAAATGCTTGATAAATATGGAACCAAATCGATGTCAAATGAGGTGTGAATGTGCCCAAGTTTGTCCAAGACAAACGGTAATAGCTCTGACTCCTCATCAGACACGTGCACACACAAAAATCAGTGAGCGTGAAAAGTACATACAGAAAGTGCTAATAAAGTGATTTAATGGCAAAGTTCACCTGTAAAGGTCTCTGTACATGGGTTGATTCCAGCTAGTCTTTTAGATGTTCCAAAGTCAGATATCTTGAGTACACCACTGTATGTGTTAATCAGGACATTGTCACCCTGGTGAGAGAATTAATACCATAAGAAGAAATTGGACCAAAAGGCTCATGTAGATAGAGTACAGCTGGATGCACTGATAGGACTGTACCTTGATATCTCGGTGAACTATCTGATTATCATGGAGGTATTTCAGTCCTTCCAGGATCTGCTTGGTGTAGAAGACAATGGTAGGTTCATTATCTTTAAGAGGACCCCACTTTGACCTTAAGAGAGAAGACAGGCTTCCTGTGGAGAGAACAAGGGAGAGTGGCTTGATTTTCCTTTGACACAGTTATGTGTATGTATGTATGTATGTATGTATGTATGTATGTCTATCATATCAGGTGAACTTTTACAAGCATTGCCTGTATTATAAAAGGCATCCATCCAAAAACAACTCTGTCCAGCCATGAAAGATCAAAGATTGAGCAAACTTCCAAGCAGCAAAGTTTGTACAGCTGAATGAATGGGGCAGAGTCAGAGAGAGAAGGAGCAATGTACCTCCTGGCACCTCCTCCATGAAAATTTTAATGAAGCCGCCCTCGCTGACCGAGCCCAGGTACTGGACAATGTTACGGTGCTTCAGCCTCTTGTGTAAGGCTATCTCCTCATGGAGTGGCTGGGAATACCTGCCATTCAACAAGACAAAGACCTATGTGTGAGACAAAAAACTTTGCACAATAACACTACTGAAGTGAACTTACCAATTACTCATGTTGCATGCTTCAAGGTTCTTATGACATTCTTGTTGACAGAAATAACATTTTGTGGAGAGGTCTCAGGCACTGAGTGGAAAAAGTTTAAACAGTCATCTTGAGGGCAACTGCTATAATGCCCTTGGGAACTCTGAATATGTTCAGCAAGGTCAAAACTTTTTCCGGATCAACAGAAAAGAGTAAATACAACTGGAAAGAACTCTGCACATCTGGTGAGTATAAACTGATCAGTCATGGTTCAGCATGGTATATTATTATGGTTTTCCCCCCAAGGACAATCTTAGAGCTCTGCCTGCACTGCATACTTTTGTGCTGTCCCTGCTCTGATACACCTAATTCAGCTCAGCAGGGGGCTAATAATAAGCTAATATGACTGGTGTGTTATAACATCTGCTTGCTTCATAGAAATTCTTTTGAATATAAACTCTAACCAAAGCCAAAACAGAAAGATAGTTGTTGTTTTGTTTATGGTTAGCAATGCCATGTTCCTTTGTGCGCTTGATAGTCATCGTGTGTGATAAGGTTAGTCTGGAACTTACAACAAAAGCATCTCAGTGTTAAGATCACCTTAACTGGTGAAAAGAGAGTTCAGTGTGACATTTGCTCTACCAATTAAGAATCATCTTTGTGCTAAAATAGACTGCTAAGGGGCTAACAGGTGACTAAAAAATATCTGAAAATTTGTTACAATCTTCATTTGTCAAAAGTTTGTGTGTAGAATCAAGCTGTATAGTATTAAACCCAGTATGGGAAAAAAAGCCCCCGTTGTTAGCTTGATGCTATGATATGGAAAATCTCATATTCCTGCCAGCAGAAATTTATATTTTTGTCACAGTTGTTTTTTTAATAAAGCACAAGGGGTTCCAAGTCTAGAGCTGGGGAGCACTGTGCTAGTAGAAAACCAGCCAATGAATCAAAGCTAAATAGCTAAATGTGTCCATACGTGCTGTCCTTCTCTGGGATTTCCTTGATGGCAATGCGCACTTGATTGCTCAGGTCTCGCCCAGCGTACACCACTCCATACGTTCCTCTCCCAAGCATCACCTTCTCTCCATTCTCCCCTTTCTCATACATGTACTAAGAGAATTAGAGAGAAAACATATTACAGAATATATCCCAGTGGCAGTGGTGATCTCCACATCTTGTTGGGTAAAGGGTCATTCCATGAAGGACCTTCCATCCAGGGTGCATTGACAGTACTGTCAGGTGCAGGATATAGAAGGTAGAGACTAAGCAGGACTGAACATAGCAAAGGTTGAAAAAGAAGGAGAGGATATGAGAACTGTGGATGATCTAAACATTGGCAATATGTATTCACCTACTCATTAACAGAAAATTTACCACCCATAAAACTGTAGTTTGTTGCTTTTCTGTGAGTGCCAGTTAATGAGAACACATTACTCCAACAAGATGAAGAAGTGATTAAAATGCAGTAATGTGGAAATGTGGGATATGAAGAATGTGCTCACCTCTAACACCCCTCCACTGACAGGGCTGGGGTCATCTAATGAAGCATCACCTTGACCTATCAGAAAGTTCACCAGCTCACAGAATCTAAGGGCATAGTGTAGCATTCACATGAGCAAAGTGAGTGGGGGCAAGGGGTGGGGAGAAAAGAAAAAAACAAAACAAACAAACAAACAAGAACAACAACAAAATATAAATTCGTATTCATTCATGGGTGCAGCCACACTAACTTACCATTACCTAGCAAACCATGAGTCAAATTCACCTTCACAACAATTCCTCTTTTTTGCTATTGTTTAAATCCCTGAAGAATAAAGTTAAAATTAAAAATGTTTTTTCAGTGCGTCATAATTGACATTCACAATTTTAGCTTAATGAATAATGAAATCATGTCAAAGAAAAGTTCCTGAGAAAAGAGAATCTCTCATCATTTCAACACAAAACTAGCAGTCTGTAAAGAGCAATACTTGCTGAAATTCTGTTCAATGTACAGTTGCGCCAAAAAAAACAAAAAAAAAAAGAAACTAATCCTACTTTAGAAACTGATCTTGGCTATAGCACACAAAAAATGACCAATATTTCCACATTTCCGCACCTTTTCTTTGGCTAGCTGAGTGTGTGTTAAGTCTAAGTGTGCAGCACTCACCCTTTGCAGTGCAGGTCACTGGGAAAGCACAGCTGGAAATCATCTGAGTTGTACAGAACATACAGGAAGCAGCTCCGCTCATCAAATTTAGAGATACTGAAACAGTTCATTATACATATGTTAATACTGACATCTGCATGACATGCAACATGATTAAAATGATCAATTATCTACTTTACCATAAGACATCTACATTTCCACTGATTTGATTGCCTAGCCATCCACTCTGCCAGTTTGTACACACTTCTACCCTACAAAATCTTCTTTAAGGGTTTTCCATTATTCGATAATATATGCAATACAAATATATGATAAAATATTTCAATGACAAAAAAAAACACAGGCAAAAAAGGTCAACTAAGATGGACTATGAAGCCATTGTTCATTAAAGTGCTGTGGATGCACTTCTCTATCAGCTCCATCTTTATATGTGGTGGCATGCTGCACTGAAACATATTCAAATTTCTTTTCTAAGTACTGATATAAGGAAATAAAATAAGACAGGGTATGAACGAGCACAAACTAACAAGAGAGCTGTAACTAAGCCCTATTCTACTAAAGTGCTGGTCTGATCTGTAATAACATGCTGCCAAATCCAGCAAGTGATTCGTGGAGCTAACATATGCTCGGAAAACAAGTCACCCACTGCTCTGAAACCTACCATGGGGACAAAAACAAGGGTAAAGTGCACAGTACACAGTGACTTCAACCTGCAGCCGAAAAGGCTGAAGCCATAGAGTCATGACCCAATCCACGTCCCAAAGGAGGAAGCTTCAAATATAGTAGAGAAAATTTCTCTAGGGTCATGAAGAGAGAGAGAGAGGGAGAGAGAGAGAGAGAGAAAGAAAAAGAGAAAGAGAACAAAGAGAGAGTGTTTAAGAGATGTGGTCAGTGTGATCCACAACTATACCTACCTCACTCCACGAATCGCTGAAGCAGGAAAGTTCCACTCATGGAGGCCTTTCTAGGTGAGACAAGACGAAATGTTTTATTCCAAAATGCTTATAACGGAAAACAAAAAAAATCTATATATTGAAAATGATCTATAATGCATTTTGAAACACGACCATAGATAAATGAACACAAACAAACACACATACATGTACATTTTATCCATCTAGTGAAACCATCACTAAAACACTATAGACTATGGTACACTATGATAAAGGCTAGGATATTTTTGACACAACGTGCTGCTCGATTGCATTCTATAAATGTTCAATAACAGTATTTTTTTAGGCTAACTTTAACAAAAACAAAAAAAAAGTCTAACGGTGCTTATCTGTGTTTTCAAACCTCAGAAGAAAAAAGAAATATTGTGATGTGTATCATGAAAATGTCAAGTATGGTGATGTTGTATATATCTGTATCGCCCACCCCTGAACACTGAAGTGACCTAGCTTAGTACGACCCAATGCAAATATATCCAAGTTAAACAATCTCTTCACCCACAGTGCTGGTACAGCATCTCGTGTGTAAACTTCACACTGTTGCGTCAAATTACACCGCCAGGAAACCAGACCCCGGCTGTGGTAACCGCTATGAACAGACAAGCATTACACACGGACTCTGACAAACTCACCTCTCTTTCATTTAATACATAAGCACCACATTAATAATTCAACACTGCATTAGAACACTGCCCTGCAGTCACACCAGTGCCATTCATCTAGAAACCACAGCTCACGGGCTTTGGCCAGCGTCTATGTGCAGACAGCAGAGCAGGCATGAGCAGGGCAGAACACTGATGTGTACCTTTAGTGGAGTAACGTGTCTCAGCTGTACGGTGCGGCTTTCGTCCTCCTCATTAACCCTCACTACACTGGGCTGGAACACTTTAGTGGGCTCCAGGATCAGGACCTGCAATCACAGATGTTATTCAAACTACTATCTGCAGTCCCCAACACTCAATAATGCACTATGCTTGTGGTCACCAACCTTCCTTCCGGAGAGCAACCTAAAACTCCAAAAAACACTCGGCAAAGACACTTTGCATAAACATAAATGAGTCCCAGCAGGCGTAGCTGGATAAAGTTGCAACTGAACTTTTTTAGGAAAACAGATCTGCAGCGTGCAGGTGATCACTACTCTATAACGATGCTGTAGTTTCACATCCTAAACATCCTAAAAGTCTTAAACTGGCAAACAGAACACACACTTACAGGGCAGCGGGATGTGGAAACAGTAGGTTTGCATGCTTGCACCAACAACTCCATCCAGAAGTCCACTTCTTCCTGTTTGGGGTGCTTCATCTCCAGGGGTTTAGCAAACTGCTTATACATTACGTATGTCTCCATGACAGAACTCAGATACCTAAAATAAATCCCACACTGAACAAATCAAGGCCAAGTAAAAGAGACCCAAACAAACCTAAACAAATGTATGATGACTCTCCTTTACTAAATAGCAAATTTAGTACATTTTTAGTAAATGCCTAACTGTAATCTGTTTTTTGTTTTGTTTTAAACATTTTTTTCTCCTAAATTTAGTTTCCAATTCCTCACCCACTAGCTAGTTCTGTCTCATCACACGACCAGGCTAGGAGGGTGAAAGGTAACACGTGCTTCCTCTGAGACGCATAAAGCCAGTCACCGTATTTTTTCAAACTATCGCTACCGTAATGTTACTGGACAACGTTTAACACACTTGAAGGAAAACGCTAACCACCAATTCTGTTACGTCAGCTAGCAGACACGCATGCTGGCTTGGATCATGCTTTTACACTGTCTTGGACTCCTGGTTAAATGATCAAAATCATGGGTATCCTTATAATAAAATGGGAGCTAATTCATTTTGAATACTGTCAACATGTAAGAATCGAACGTTGCGAACTTCATTCTGCATTTGCATGTGAAAAAGTGAGCAGAAGAATTTTCCCTGCAGAGAATCTAGAGCCTGCTTTAACCTTTCCTTTTATTCGCTCACTGATGCAACAAATAAGCCATGATTACTGTGAATGACATGTTTATGATGGTAAATTAAGGTGTGCTGTTTGCAAATGATATGTAAATAAGGGACTTGCACATGTTGGCTTGTCTCCAACCAACTTAAGTCGACTCATCAACTGCAGGTCAAATCAATGTTTATTTTGTTGTCATATGACAGTTTCATTAATCACAAGTGTAGTGGTTTTAACGTTTCAGGCACTTGAGTCTGCGCTTGTTTCTATGCAACTATGAGTAAGGACCGATGTCCAAATAGATATGTTTATGTGCCAGAAATGTGCATGATAAATATTAATTGGACATGATTTGGGACACTGACCACATTGGTGCATTCAGTCGGTAGAGTTTCTCAGAGGCCTCTATGACCTTCTTGTGCTCATTGGCCAGAATCCCAGCCCCGAGATAGAAGCCTACATCCCAGTAATTCTGCATCTTCTCCAGGCTGCCTTTCCTGCCAAGCAGACTACTGAGTGTGACGCCTGGCCCCCAGGAAAAATAAAGACAATAAAAACTGTGTCAGTTAGCTTATACTGAAAATTGATAAAGTAGGTTAATTACAGCTTACAGAGTTTCAATTGAGAACTCTGATGCTATTGATTCATGGTACTACCCCTGCATTAACAAAAAAAAATAGAAAATCTGCCATATTGTCCAAGCTCTGTGAGTTGCAAGAGAAGGCAATGAGTGTAAAAGGCTAAAAAATAAGATCTTACCTAGTGGACAAATGATGCGGAACAGACTCAGCTCACCCACAACTGTTATTGTTTTCTTAAATATATAGGGCAGAGAATAGATGTACAGGGTATGAATGACACAAACATACCAATCTTGCGCAGCTCAATAGAGGTGTCAAATTCATGGCCGGCAGCCATGAGGAGGACCACATTGTTAATACCCGAGTGTAGTGAAGGCTCCATCTCAAAGGCTTTACTGTACCTGTGAAAAAAGGCTCTGCTGATGATTCCAGCTTCCAGCATAATTGGGTGTAAAAAAGGCTTTTATACCAAGAAGTTTTACAAAAAAAAATCTTTCTTCTCCTTCCTGACTTTTCATCAGTGTCCAACAAAAACTTTTCATGCTCCAGCACAGTATACTATTCAAATTAGACCAGTTACTTATCATGTGCAACAGCTATCAACAGACTGACGTCAGACTCACTGTGAACCCTTCTGCACCTCACTTTAACATCAATGTATGAAAATGGTTGGTTAAGTTGAGGAATTTGTAGTCTAGGACTAAGCTTAGTCCTTGTGTGGGAAACCAGCCTAAAGTTATAAGCACCTGTTCCTGACAACCAACTCAGTTCCTAATAATGTTTTAGGGTTCTGCAGATCTTTTATTAGAAGCAGTTTTCATGTGCTGGTGCATTTCACTTCCTCAAAAAAGGGGTCCCATTCAACATTACGAACCTCAGAAGCAAAATTCCTAGTAAAATGGGAAGTTCCTTTCTAACGAGAAGGAATGAATGGCCTACTACTGAGGACTGTAAAAGTACTATAACAGAACCTTTAGTTTATGCTTTCAAGCATACACAGGGGCTCAAATCTTACAGGCAAAACAAGGACTCATTCTAGAGGAATACAAACAATAAGTGCAAAAGACAGCGACACTGGCCCTGCCTGCTAGGCCTGTAAAACAACACACCCACTAGATCATCCATACAATTGTTCTTTGTTTGAGCACTCTGCATAATGTTTGGTATGACTTCACTTGACTCTTACATTTTAAGGCTGAAAATAATAGAAGTATAGAATTTAAAGAATGCAGTCTTGCATTGTTGCTTAACTTTGCTGTTACGTAAAGACATCATTATGAATGTTGTAAGAGGAAACAATTTAATAGTGCTGTGCAAATGAATAGAGATGACAGAGCGACAGAGTGTATGTGTATCGTGCCTCACCAGTAGCAGGCCTGGTCACGGCTATGTGTGTCTGAGAAACCAGAACTCAAGAACATGTCCTTATAAATGCGTCCACAGAGGCAGTACACGTCTGATGCCACCTGCTCTCCTGACTCAACTAAGGGCAGAATGACTGATAAGGCTTTTGTACGGTCACCAGGTCGATTCCTCCTGGAAAGATTAGTCACAGTAGACAAGATGCAGGATCACAATTTTTATAATAACCACATTTAGGAGAACACAATAAAAATGAATTAGGCTTTATAAACAACATTATATTCTAAAGCAACAAAAAGACCATAAAGAGACAATGTATTGCAACAAAAGCAGCCCATAATTCTAGCCATGATTGTAACTTGCTTGTTTAATCAGTCAACAGGAAAGGTTACCTGTTCAGGGCAAATATGTACTGAAATTTGATGTTTGGCTGTGCTGTCACCATGCACATAGGCAGGTTATTCAGGGTTTCCACCAGATTAATTATGGACTCGTAGTCCTGTGGTGAAGCAAAGGATTAAATTACATTTAATTATTTACATGTTTTACAAGCAGAGGTCATAGTGACAGATTTGTTTGCCTCTTTGAGAACAAGATAATAGAATATGATTTAATTATTTTTTAACATCTATTCATGAATCAGTTTTTTTCCTGAATCATAGCAACAGGTCCAGCTAGAGAGCAGACTGAAATAAGAGCATGCACAAACAAGTCCATGTCTAACCCATATTGAGGATATGTATACAACACACATTCATTACATCATAACATGACACACGGCAATGTGGCAAGAATCTTAACAAGAGTTATTATTGCGAAAAAGGCCACAAGAAAGAGGCACTGAAATTAACAGTGTAGTGGGTGAACTTCTCACTGTTAGCTCGGAGTGGGTAATACCACAATATTTGTCATTATGGTGATACATTATGTCATGTCACAATATGTTTTTCTGAGTGTATCGTGGATATCATTAGAACTTGCAGTGCAGTATGTGAAACACTGAATAAAACAATTGCATTCATAGTTTCTGACATTGTTTGTTTAAATGTGGTGCTACGGGTTCTTTTTTGTCTGTTCCAACTTATCAAACCTCAGAAAATAAATATTGTGACGCATATCATATACCATGAAAATGTCCAGTATCCTGATAAATATCATGATATTATATTTTTGCCATATCGCCCAGCCCTATTCTTAGACATATTTTAAATCCTCACTGGGATGTCACGATAGGACAGCAGGAGACTCATGACGACGTCTGGGCTGAGGAGCTCCACAGTGTCCAGTCTTTTCTGGATGCGACCTAACTCCTGACTTAGGGCCTCCCCACTGAAATGCTCCCGCGCCATACGGATCTCCTGCCGGATGGACTCATGAAAGTACTCACTGCAGAGGAAGAGGAAGAATTCCATTTAAAGCTTTGATTTATGATGCAAACTAGTTTCAAGCTCTATAGTTTTAAGTCCAATGTTTAGTTGGGAACCTTTGGTCAACTAAAAAAATTTCCTACTAAAATGAAAGAACAGTGGACGGAAATGGATAGACCATGTTCACATATTGTCATCCACAGATTTTTTAGCACCAGTCACTCAAAAGCACACGAAGGACTGAGTGCACACGAACAACCACTGACCTTGCATGAATATGCACATTCTCCAACAGTTTGACCAGGCAGTCCACTAAAGGGGTCAGTAAAGATTCGATGGCAAAGGTGGGCTGCAAGAGTTCCTTGATACCCCGCATTAGATTTGCATCACAAGCAAACACTTTTCCTTGAGGTGACACCACGTATTGGATGAAAGTATAGCTTCCACACTGCTCCTGATGGGACATAAATCAATCAATTAATCACTGAGTCATATTGATCAGAATGAAGTATGCAGCTTGTTCCTATAGGAATCCAATCTTGTGTCTGTTATATCAAGAAATTTTAGCAACTTTTCAGCATGTGCCCATGCCAAAGACTGCAGGCACTTTGAGGATTCCGAGATGTTTGTGTATTTCTTTTTCAGTAAGTACAACTCAGCTCAAAAACGTCTTGCACAGTACGAGGAAAATTCCAGACCGCCCACCTTAAGCGCTTGAAGGTCATTCTCTTGCTTATTGCAGTACAGTACAACATTATTTGTCATGCTGAAACTTTCTCTCACACCGAGATGGTAGAAGAGTGAAGGCTGATGAAAAGTGTCACTCATCTCAACAACGGCAACATCTGCAACACACAAGCAGAACACAAACACAGCTGGATATATCTGAATAGTCCACTGTTTAAAAAGATTTAACAGGGCCAAATGGCATCGGAAAGCTCCAGCATGCCTGCACTTGCCTGCGTTGTAGAAACTATCCAGCGCGTCCGTGGTGCCTAGCGCCAAGCAGGCGAAGGGGAGTGTGTGGAGGAGGGCGCGTGAGTCTGCGCAGGCTTCCCTCAAGCAGCGCAGGGACAGGCTCTCCTCAGCCTGCGTCACCGAGGCGTCCTCCACGGCGATGTACACCACTGACAGGGCTCGGCTGCGGCTCCGCGGGGAAACCGAGCTTTTACTCGTTGCGCTCAGCTCGATGGCCAGAGGGTCCTGCCATAAACTTCCAGCCAAAACTAGCACGGGGTCTTTCCGTTTGACCTCGTGCAGGCTCATGCGCCTGCGCTCCGTCGTGTACATCGTTTCCGTTACTGGTTAGAAACTTTCTCCGTGGCGAATGTGAAGCGTAGACACTTCCTCTGTGGAGAGTGTGGACGAAATAAACGCCTTTTGTGGGAAGTGTGGTGAAACAGAAGCTCCTCCTCTTTTTTTTGCTTTCTGTCAATGACCTGGAGCTGAGAGGGCAGTTCTGCTGTGTAGCTTCTGTCTTAAACTATGGCGAAACTCTCCTTGAGGAATTTCCCAGGTGCGAGCAGTGGGCATGTGCTCTCCATCCCATTGGCTGCGCCGCGGCCACCCCCACTTCCACTGTGGGATGAGCCAACTGTCCTCTAAGAGTCAGCCTTGGTGTGGTTTTGTGACAAAACTGTAGAGATGGACGATACCGGGTCTGTTCTCTTCGTTCCGATAACACCAAAAGTAATACTAAAGCTAAAAAGTCTTTTTGTGCGTAAAAAGGGGAATTTATTGGGATTCCCCCAGTGAAATAGGCACTGTCAGGAAAAAAATGTCTGCTGCCCTTTACTTTGTGTGAAAATATGAAAATCTCCCGTCAGATAGACACATGAAAGAACTTGCTGCAGAGACAGAGATCTATAGTAACGCTTTCAGATTACGCTAATATTATTCAGTCAGAAACCTTTGGGCAACAAAACAATTCTCAGTCGGGGACAGTCCTACTAAAATGAACAGACAGTGGATGGAAATGAATGGAACAGGTCCCATATCTTCATCCACTAAAGCTCAAGAAACAATTTTTGGCATCAGTCACCACATGAATGGACAACTACTGATCTTGAGTGATTCCACAACAGCTTGGCCAGGATGTCCCCTAAAGGGCTCCGGAGGAGTTCAGTGGTAAAGCTAGCTCCTTTACAGTAGTATTAACTAAACTGCCACATAAACTGACCGTTTAATGAAGTGAAATATCTCCATAAGATCTGCCATCATAGAGCATTTACTCAGTCTCATATGGCTGTGTGTGTGTGTGTGAGTGAGTGAGTGAGTGAGTGAGTGAGTCATCATCCAAGACAAATAATTCCATTTCATAAAAACACAGTGATTCAATTTACTGCTTAAAGAAAACACTCAGTAACAATATTTTAATGTAAGGACTGATCCCCAAAAAGAAATATCAGGATCAAAGTAAAAATGATTGTGTTTTGTGGTCAAAAGTGCACATTCAATAATGGAGATGCTTGTGCATTAATGTGATATGTAAAGACAACACAGAAGAGCACCTGTTCCTCAGGTGACTGAAAACATCAATGCAGGATGTGATCAGACTGGGTGAGCAAGAACAGTTGAACGACTACACAGACAAGGATATTATAGCAGAGTTGCAGTGCACAAACCCCTTATTACAAAAACTAATGCACATTTGAGAGTTCAGTGGTGCAGAAAACATTAGCAAGTCTACAGAGATGTGGAAGCTGTTCTGTGGCCCAAAACCTTACTAAGATTGTGCTCATTTAGTTATGCTCATTTTTTCTGCATTTGTCACCTGCCTGTAGTTATGTGTAAATATGAATATGCTCATTAAATGTTTCAAATAATGAACTGAATACTTATTCTTTTGAACATTATGTGTGTGCTGCTGTGCTGAACTAGTTCACAGATCACAAATCACAAATCATCCTAAAGGACTTGCAGCTTGTTTTGTGTGGGGTGATACAGATATTAAGCTAAAAAAGGACTGTTCAGAAGCACATAGAGAAATCCAGCTGTGTCAGTTGCTTTACAGTATAGGTATCAGCACACATTGATAAAACAGCTTTTGTAACTAATGCTTTCTCTTTTTACTCAGTTGCCCAATGCCAAATGAGTGGTGTTTGAAATCTTTTTACTGTGATATGAATCAGACCACCTCTGTGCATTATCTTATCTTATGTAGCCCAATCAGAGTCATAAACTTAGTCCTCAGTGAAAGTTAGTGGCAAGAACCCTTGCTGTCCTTTGCACCCGAACTCAACTAATTCAATGTAAGCAACTGTCCAAGGAGGAACAGGCAGTTTGCTCCATCACAAATAAAAATACTGGACAACGGGGAAATAGTACACACACACACACACACACACACACACACACACCCACACACACACACACACACACACACACACACATCTTCTAAACTGCTTATTCTTCAGGGTCACAGGGGGAGCTGAAGCCTATCCCAGCAGTCATTGGGTGGAAGGCAGGATACATCCTGGACAGGTCACCAGTCCATCGCAGGGCGGTGATAGTACAATGACAGAGATATAATTAAACTATACAGATACATTGTTCTTAATGCCATTTTCTGAATTATGTAAATGTTAAAAAGTGCAGAAATCCATTTGGGAATTTTATTTGTAAGCATCAGGTCATGTTTTTACTCACTCTTCTGTCAGCCTGTTTTGTCAATGCTGTCTTGCTGATTTTAAATAGTAGCCACTGGGGTCAGCTGTAGTATTATTTAACATAGTAGAGAAAATGTATATAATTAACTTTACTCACAGTGCGATAGCTAGCCCATCTCAAACCAATTAGTTACAAAAATTTAGAATAATAAAACATGCGTACATAAACAACATAAGGCTTTCATAGTGCAGTTTCATAGTGTAATTTGTTAAATTGGATTTCATGTTATAGTATGATCACATAAAACACACATACCACAGGTGTACCTGTGATCACACATGAAAAACATGATTGCATGCAATTTCGTAGCATAATGTGTTACCACATGTGATCAATCACATGTGAAATGTATGTGATTCTTCTGTAAGGGTTAGCCTGCATTTTTCAGAATATAATGGCGCATTCAGAATGAAGTTTGTCAGAATGTAGTGGAAAAATGACAGTGAAAAATGACAGTCAGTGGGTTTATTTCTCACAGTCTGATATTTTCTGATTTGAAGCACCCAAAAATTCAGACAGTTGGTTCACTAAAGGATACTACACACGCATTACAAATTACTATAGGAATAATGTAAGTTATATATAAAATACACTTGTTTTAGCAATATTATACGGAGCCCCGCTGGTGACATCCTGTATAAATAAAAATAATGCGTGGCCACGCCTTATTAACACGTGGGAACGAGATCCTAATGCGTGGCCACGACTTAGTAAGGCGTGGGAACGAGATCACGGCTTACTAAGTCGTGGCCACGCATTAGGATCTCGTTCCCAAACTTTACTAAGTCGTGGCCACGACTTAATCATCTCATTCCCACGCCTTACTAAGTCGTGGCCACGCATTATTTTTATTTATACAGGATGTCACCAGCGGGGCTCCGTAATATTATACAGCACTATAGAAATGTTATAGTTTCACATAGTACTCCTGCCCAACTTTTTGGAAAAGGGGAGTTCCTGCTGTGGTGCCGTGTGTAAGTTAGGGTCCCTCCATCCAGAGCAGAGCTCCACTCTCTCCCTCCCCTCACTAAAAACCAAGCAGACTAATGTTACATGCGCACTAGAAAACATGGCGGACTAACATCACGTTTGAGAAATTAACACAAACCTTTCCGAACAAGGTAAACGGCCATGTTTACATGCATACGCCCAGATCAGATCGTTATTTCACAAGAAGAACTCTCTTTATGAACATGGCTTTAGTAAACGCTTAGAAAGTAAACTGAGTGAAGTGGCTCCACGTTGCTAATCTCGGTTGCTAAGCTAAACTGAGAGACGCTGCTGTTGTTGTTGTTAGCCTGACTAGCCTAGCATCCCGTGGACCAGCAGACTCGCTGACACACTCACATCAGCAGTGAACTGAACTGAATATTTCTGTCACCACGCTTCATTATTAATGCTCCAAGTTGGGTCACTTTAGCTAGATAAGCTCAGCGAGTCTGAAAAACAACTGTGAGACAGTAGACATTGGTGATGTTCACGTTAGCTAGCTGCTCTCACAGAGCTGGTTTATTTATTGCCGTTTTTCGCTTTGGTCCTTGTTCTGTCCAAATGCTGGCTTTGTGGTCAGTTTTTATGTAATGTTTCAGTTTCGTTGTGTGTAGCTAGGAAAGCCTTTTTTGGCAGCTTTATCAGTTCTCCCAGTTGTCTCCCCGAGTGTGTGGTGCTGTTAGCTAACTCGCTGTGTGTCCCAGGAAAATAACGTTGCAGCTGCTGTCATTTTGCGAGGAGGGCAGAGGAAGGAGGAGGGACTGGTCGCCTGCGTTTGCACGCCATCCTCTTGGCGCAAAAAGGCGCTCTTCTTTTGAAAGAAACAAGAAAACGACAGTCCCACTGAAGGAACCGTTTTTCAAGACACTAATGCAGAACTAAGGTAACTCGTCGTTGTGCACGTTATTACTGTTTTTCTAGCATTGCAGTATGTCACATAAACTACTTGTCGGACTAACGGATACTGAATTACTCATAACAGTATCAAACAGCTACGCGGCACAGATTGTAACCGTAGACGTTATTTTAGGTGCGTATTTTTCATCTTTGAATTGCTTCGGCTAGCTAGTGAAAGTGAGCATGTTGGTACAGGGACTGCATTATTTGAAGTGGCATATTTACTTCTACTTCTCTAAGTGCGCACCTAAGCCCTGTTGAGAAACGGTTACCCTTTCATTTCACTTCACTGACCTCGTCTTGCCCAACGTCTGACCCTACGACCAGTGTGGATGAGGAAAGTAAGGGGGTTGTTGTTTCTAGATCATGGCTAACGGTCTGGCAAGAAGGAGTTGACAGCATTTTATTTTTGCTCCTTTGTTTTTTTTGGGTTGGTGTGTCCCCATTTCCTTACCACCCTTCTGGGCAACAGAAAAAAATATGGAAGATGGCCAGTACATGTACATTTCCCTAGCTGTTTGTATCATAATGTAAAAAGATGTGCAGCCACTTGAATTCTACTGCTATATCAAACGTTTTTTTTTATTAAACAGAAGATCAAAATACAGCAGGATCATGAGAAAACCTGTGCCACAGAAAGGTAAATGCTTTTAGAGCTGCATGCAGTTTCTACTATGTATGTTTATTTTCCCAAAGCCTTTTCATTTTTACAGTACAGTATGTGATGTCCTTCTACCTTCCTTTAGCTATTGAGTGGAAAGATGCCAAGCGGATCAAGCACCCTCGCAGTGGCCGACCCTCACGAGTTCCATCACAGTATCAAGGTACGTATACCACCATAAGTTCATATTTGAATTGAGCTCTGTGACTCCATCAGCATTATCTGTTCTTCAAAATTAGCGCTGACAACTTCATTCTACCCAGTGAGAAGACTTCAGAAAGGGCATCTGAACGCATGCTTGGTTTCAGAATTCCTGCGGGAGAGTGAAAGCTGATTCCTATTTGGTTTGCATGTGCTTTTATTGACCATCAGAATTTCTATTTTAAACAGTATTAGCCATGTGCGAGCTATACAGAGTACTGTCTCCACAGGTGGACTGTCGGCTGAAGGACAACGATAGCGCCTATGCATGTATATTATTGCAGTATATTTTTCTTGCTGTTTCTCTTCAGGGCACTTCAGTTGGGAGAAGTATCTGAAAGAGATTGGTGCTGTAGCTGCCCCTGCCCATTGCTTTAAACAGGTGAGTCTTCCTCTGTTGGTCAGAAACACTGTTGTTAGTTCAGCAGCTAAGCTGAGTAGCACCCTCAGTGTGTTTTGAACATCTTGGGTCTTGTAAAAGGATTTCTCATCATCAGTTGAAAGTGATAGTAGAACTGTTGTAGACCTGTAAGGGTACTAATGGAGCACATTAATGCTTTGCAGAGCACTACACCCCCAGTAAATGAGTTCAAGGCAGGAATGAAGCTGGAGGCCCAGGATCCCAGAAACACCACGTCCACCTGCATCGCCACAGTGGTGGGGTTGACTGGCTCACGCCTCCGGTTGCGCCTGGATGGCAGCGACAACAAGAATGACTTCTGGCGCCTGGTGGACTCGGCTGAGATCCAGCCCATCGGCAGCTGCGAGAAGAGTGGAGGCATGTTGCAGCCGCCCCTGGGTGAGGACTACACTCATACTTACACACAGTTATAACAAAGAGTTCCAGGTTAGTTACTTTTTTCTTACAATATTTGTTTACTAACCAGCAAATAATTCTGTTTACATTGTTTGTGAGGTTCCTGCTATTCAAAAAATCTGTTTGTCACACATTATTGAGCACAATTTAATCCAATAAATGTGGTGCACGCATGCTGTTATTACTGGCAGTCACAGTTAAGAAATACTGGAATAAGGCCATTCACACTTCACTGTGGCACTGTATCCATCTCTGCTTTTTCTGGTATTTTCTGGATGCTGGTAATACTAGGAATAGTTTTTGTTTTGTCTCTGTTTACAAGGTCTTTAGTAAAACCTTTACTGTCCTCTAGATGTCACTGCTGACCAAGATGACAGACCAGGATTATTATTTTGTTTTCCTGTTGCATGGTGTAATATAGGGCTGCACAATATATCATTGTTAATCATTAATAGAATATTTGTAGTACTGATATTGCATAAGACTGAAAATAACATTTATAACACAGGCTGAATGTGTTATTAATGTATTGCATATTACCATGTAACAATATAATTGTAATGTATAATTTTGTCCATATCATGCAGCCATTGCTAGCCATATGGCAATTTGATTCAATGAATCAGAAGTTGCATCCAATTAGTGTAAGTACTGGACTTGTGTTAGTATTTTCAGTATATTGGCACCTACTTTTAAACTTCAGCACCTGAGAGATGAACTGTTTCCTTTGACAGATGTGTTAAATTGATTTCTGACTGAATGTTCTGTAGGGTTCCGACTGAATGCATCATCCTGGCCTATGTTCCTCCTGAAAACACTCAACGGTGCTGAGATGGCACCAGCACGCATCTTTCACAAGGTACTGTCTGTGATTCCAAACAAGACAAACATTCACACATTTCTGCCAGACATTCTTATTCTTTCTCCTATATATATATCATTTCACTATTTCACCATGTTCACATACAATCATTTGCATAATCGGTGTGATTTTTTTTTTTTTGAGCCAGACATTTTTTGCTTTGTCATGTTCATGTTTATTTAAAATAACTATATTCAGTGGTACAATTCTGGAAAAATGTACTATGTAAAATATTAAAATGTGAAATCAGTGTAACTTGTCAGGGCTGATACTGAGATTGGTATTTCTATCAGTGCATCTCTGGCTGTAACAGTCTTTACGTACTATTGATGTATTTTTATTCAAAAAGCAAGCTTGAGCCTGTTGAGTCATTTACCACTTAAATAAATTACTTATTTACCAGTTAAATTATGATTGACTGACCCACAGTTTCTTTCTTATGATGATTTTCTCATTCTCTCTTCTTGATATCTTTTTCTCTCTCTGATTCCTCAGCAGGAGCCTCCCTCTCCAGAGCAGAATTGTTTCCAGGTGGGTATGAAGCTGGAGGCAGTAGACAGGAAGAACCCACACTTCATCTGCCCTGCAACAGTAGGGGCGCTGCGAGGCGTGGAGGTGCTGGTCACCTTTGACGGCTGGAGGGGCGCCTTCGACTACTACTGCCGCTACGACTCCAGAGACATCTTTCCTGTGGGCTGGTGCTCACTTACTGGAGACAATCTGCAGCCGCCCGGAACTAAAGGTGTCTCCACTGGTCTGTTTCTATGTAAATTCCCACCTTATGAGCTCAAGGTGCTTTTGACAGCATTCAGACACAGAGCAGCATGATGCTGAAATGGGCAACTGGACAAAAGTGTCAGTAAAAATACAGGATGTTGAAGTAAAGCTGGTTGATGTCAAAGTATAAGGATGATTGGCCCATGTGAGTAAACAGCAGCAAGCTAGATTATTTTCTACCGCTGGAAGATGTGTCTATAAGGTAGTAATTATTAAAGAAATTAGTTCTTGTTTATATGTAGTAGTGGTTTACTGGTCAGACACATAAGCCAAATGTGAATTTGATTGGATGAGATAATAGTAGGTTAACAATATTCAGCCGGAGATGGAAGCTGTAAAAAGAACTGACCCAGTTACACAAGTAAACTTTAGTGAATATGAAAGATGCATAAAAGGGATACAGGATCAGGAACACATGTGCCTGGGTTTCCAGTGAGTGGAGTGACGGAAGTAGTGAAAGAGAGGGATTTTTTCAGGCATGTTTGTTTTATGAGCTCTTGGCACCTGCCCAGCTGGCACTGAAGCCCTTATTTAACGCTAAGTACCCAGCAGTGGCCTCACATTGGCACCTGTTCCCAGGGGCTTCCCAGACACTGAGAGAATGAAAGAAAGAGTAAGTCAGAGGGTTACGGTCATGTAAGAGGAGGGAGGAAGAGAGAAAAGGAGTGGCGCAACTCTAAGGGTGGGACTGTGGATGAGAGGGTGAAAGAGAGGCCATGGGGCCATCAAGTTTCATCAAGGAGCGAGGAAGAAAGGAGGAGAGAGACTTTATTAGGCTCATGTCAAGTAAACAGTGAAACTAGGACCTCACATTATTCTGGAAAGCTGTGGACCTAGTTGTGGTAAGCTGTGTGCTGATTTTGTTATATGGAAGAGACACACCAAACAGTGCAGTAGTGTAGGTTTAATTAAAGCAGCTTTGAACAGAGAAACAGAGCTTAATACGCATTTTCACAGTGCTTTATGTTTTTTAAGTCTTAAGAGAAAATGTTATTTGTCTTTTCCAGTAATGTATTTTGGAATTAAGCCTGTCACAATCATGAAATTTTAGCTTACAATTAACTGACATATAAACACTGTGGTTAACTATTTCATTGTCTTTTTTAAAGTACAAGCCTAAAGTGGGCAGATTGGTTGGTTAACTATCTTGCTGTCTAGCTGTCGATACTTAGCTCACAAATGAAGACAGGAACAGGTCAAGCTCAAATAAACAAACATTGCTCACTGCTAAACATGTTATAGCTCCAAGTCATGAGTTGGAACTTTTGTTGTGTTCTTAAGACCCATGATTAGTCTTGAGAAATCTGTTTATGCTGTCTCTTATTTACATGTAGTTGAGCCAGCTTAACTGTTAAAACTCATTCAGTTAAATTCTGTGTGTTCTGATGTAAACATAGGATTTGGAAAGGTCAGAAGTGTGTAAAACAGCTGCGGTCAGATTGAATAATTGTGCTGAGGCAATTATGTAATAGTTGTGACAGGCAAATTTGGGATGTTTGAAAGAATATGCATGTTATTGTCGTTTGCCTTCTTTTCAAACTCTGTTAATCTTTAAAGTAATTGGTAGATTACTTGATTACTAATATAATTGATAGTGACAGCTCTAGTGTATTTGTACCTCTCAACTCAAGCATGGATTTTGTAGGAAATCCTCCAGTCATAAAACTGACTAGTGATTAGTCAAACGCTACTTTGTGTATTGTTTGTGTTCTGGATGATCACACAGACCTCAAACCTTTACCCTTGTGTGCTCAGCCTGAGCAGCATATGCAAATTGTGCATGTGAGTGAAGGGGCCCCTTGTAAGGGATAGGTAGTGGAGTAAGAGAATAAGCAGTTGAAAGGACCTGTATTTTGCCAGCTGTTGGAAAGGCTCTGCTTTTTTTGCTTTGCGTCCCTGCATTTGAACGTAGTTGCCACACTGCTGGTGTGTGTTAATCTCTCTCAGGACTACTGGCCAAAATCAAAAACGTGCAGGCCATCACCTTCTCCTGGCTTTGTTTTGCTGTTTTTTTAATGAGTACATCGAAACTAAGGGCAGGAAGGAAGTGTGTAGAGCCTGTAACACCCCAATCATGCACTCACACTTGCACATACACACCAGCTTTAGGTCAGGCTGTCTTGCAGACGGTCTCTGTGTGTGTGTCTCTTTGGCTCTCGAGCTGGGCTGTGTGTGAACCTCTCCGGTGCTCCTTAGCTTGTTGTGAACTGCAGAACTGGCTGCCTGTACAGGTGCGTAAAACTCTCGCTCTGAAAGGTGTGTATGCTTGCATTTGTTTGAGACAAAGGCAGGATGAGAGAGCTCTTTAGCAAGTTGTATTTTAGACCTAGATGTTTTTCTTTTCGCTGTTACTTGTGTTTGTGAATTTGCCATTTTTTTTCCATTTTGCACAAAATCTCATTATTCAGTTCTTTCCTGCTTAGTATTCAGTATTAAGCTCTTCTACATTATTTTGTTTAGGCCTAGTAGCTTGGCTTTGTAAATAGTTCTTCCTCTTTTATCTCTCTCTCTCTCTCTCTCTCTCTCTCTCTCTCAAACTCATTCACCCTGAGCTAAAGGAGCCACTGGTAGCAGGAATGTGTAACACAACTCGTGTCTTTGTTCACTGGCTCAAAGCAAAATGGGTCACCATGGCTCTGCAAACAAAAGTCTTGCGGTGCTGTTGTCTGCAGCATGTTTGTTATGGCCATGGCTGTGATGTTTGTCTTATTACTGAGTTTGTGTCTCACTATTGCCTCAGCAGTCAAGGTACAATTTAAACAAGGATGCATCAATTTTTCAAAGCCAGCACTGTTTAAATTACTGAACCCTAAGATCCTGCCCATACCAGCTTCTCACTTTTCTCTTTTTTTTTAGCACTGGACACATTCAAGGGGGTCTGTATCAACTTGATATGCTTTTTTCTTGTCTATCTAAAAGCTATGAGGTATTGCTGGAGTTTACGCTGTGCAGCAGCCAAATGGGGAAGACCCATCTAACAGATCTGAATAAGATGACATTAATAACGTATTCTAGCACTCATCAGGTTGCAGCGATTGACAACATCTAGTCATTCCAGTCGTCTTACTCTAGTTCTTCTCTTTGTCTCTCTTGTCAGTGGGGTTACCGAAGCAGCTGGGTGCTCTAAGCGCCCTGCCTGACAGTGGTGTGGAGGGCTCAGGCATGCCCCCCACGCCCGCCAGGCCTCCAGCCCAGAAGGGACGGAAGCCTGGGCGCAGGAAAAGCAAGTTGACCAGCCTCTGGAACCAAAAAGGCACCACAGCTACTGTCGAGCTCCAGGCAGACCAGTCTGGAAAAGTACTGGGACCAGTCAAAATCCCCAAGAAGAGAGGCCCTAAGCCTGGGAACAAGGTACACCATAGACAAGGGTATTCAGTGGGTAGCCTTTTAGAGGTCTCCCACAAAAGCACGCATGTTTTAAGTTTTAATCTTAATTGTTTGTCTCAGATCTGCCTGTTATGCCTGAGCAATCTCTTTTTGTATTTGTATTTATGTGTGTTTTTGTGCTGTAGCTGAGCTGGGCTAAGAGGGCTGTGTGGATGGAAGGAGCGATGGCAGGTCCTGGTAGACCCCGAAGCCGACTACCAGCCAGCTGGGCTCAAAGACTACAGCAGGATGAGACAGAGCCCTTGAAGGTCCCCAAAAAGAGAGGCCCTAAACCTGGCAGCAAGGTTTTTGACTTTTAGCTTTGGCTTTAATGCAGCACTCAATAATGTCACTTCATCATGTGTCTTTCATCGTTTGTGTTGTGGATGTTTAATTGTGGGATTTAGTACTTGTTTAATGTCAATTGACTGTAATATATGTGTGTGTGAGTGTAATCATTTTCATAAAACAGAGGAAACCACGGGTGGTGCCCGACCCAGTGCCCATCTCTCCCACTAGCAGCACTCCAGAGCCAGACACCAGCTCTGTGCCCCTGGATAATGCCACCATCCCCAGTGCCGCCTTGCAGGCTCCAACAGGTACTGAAGGCAATTTTAGTCTCACCTATTAAGTCTAGGGATGGGTATCATTTGAATTTTATTAATATTACTATTGAATTGGTACTCTTTTATTACTTGAGTATGCAATCACACAACATCATTTAAATCTCTTTGCCAGTAGTGAGTCTTAGTATGTAAGCAAACACCTCTCTAGTTGTTCTGTATTTGTGTGGTGACATAGTGCTGAATGCTGGCTGTGTATGTGCATTCCAGTGTGTGTTTATCTGAATAAGCATGGGAAGATTGGTCCTCACTTGGACGCACGGCGGGTGCAGGCTCTGCCCGATCACTTTGGCCCTGGCCGGGCATCCTCAGTGCTGCAGCAGTGTGTGCAGGCCTGTGTGGACTGTGCACTTAACCAGAGTACTGTCTTCAACTGCCTCAAACCAGGCCACGGGGGAGAGCTCATCTCAGGTCGGCACGTGCATACACTTGGTCTCCACCGTAACATTATTAGGTTGTCTGTGGTGTGTATGCCTATATAGCTCTTTTGAGCAAACAGAGAAATGCTAAGAAAAGTGTGGATTCTGAACTTATAAGTGATGCCACATTTGTGTATGTAGAAGAGTAGATATTTTGTCTTTCTTTTTTGCCATGTTATTGAAATGCAAAAATGCAAAAATAAAAACTTGACGGATAAGACTGGACACCCCTGTGCTGGATGGCCTTGCTGTTTGACCCTAACTTCTGCCCTTTTGCCCTGCAGCCCACTTTGACCAGCAGCAACACACACTGACTTTGCCAGCAGTGAACAGTGTGACTTACGTACTACGCTTCCTGGAGAAGCTCTGTCACAACCTGCACTGTGACCCTTTGTTTGGCAGCCAGCCTGTGCCTCTGGGAGGAGTACACTATGACAGCCACACCTACACGGGTCTGCTATCATATACACACGTACACTCACAACATTCACTGGTACACACACATAATATCTTCACTTAAACACTCTCCAGTCTCGTACAAAAAGTTCATACTCTAACTCTATTAATGGATGTTGCACCTGTATGATTGTATAATTATGTGTGTTTGCCTTTCCCCTGTTTGTCAGAGAGGAGGGGTTTTGCAGAGTGCCTCGGTTCAGGACCGGGTCGAGGTACTAAAAGATTTCTTCAGGACTCGTATAACAACAGTCAGATGCCCCATAAAATGGCAAAAAGCCACCGCCTCTCCTCTGAAGGTACTTTACTAATTAGTTTGCATGATTGCCACTGAAGCTGGGTTTGTCAGTCTCTGGTAGCACATGGATGTGCCTGCTGTTATTCTTCACTTTTCAATCCAGTGAATACTGTGTGAAGTGTCTCAGTTTTATCATGAGATATATTTTTTCTGTATGTGAACAGAGCCTTTTCTGGTGGAGAACGGAGGATCAGATCACTTGGAGAAAACTCCACTCTCCCCCACTAAGAATCTGGGTCTGCACCCTCACTCTCAGAGTAGTAGCTCCCCCAGCCGACTACACCGCCTGGGCTCTGCAGGTGTGTATACACACATACCGGCACAGACTTTTAGTAATTATCATACAGAATTTAATTCATTTCAAACCACACAATTCACGTATTATAACACTACCACCATTGGTTTAGAAACCAAGCCTCTTTCTGCTAGGCATTAATGTCACATTCTGATTTCTCAGGTTTTATAAAGTGTTTTTTTATTTTCCTTTTTTTTTGTTTATAGATAAAAAAAGAAATGAACTTTTGTTTTCTTCTGTTTCTTTGGATGTCACACAATTATGTAGGCTTACAAGAGCGATGCATTTTGCAAACTGTTAGTGTTACTTTTGCATACAATTACAATATGTTTAATGCCCTCTTGTAGTGTATAAAATACCTTCCACTGAAGATACTCTCCTTCCAGTAAATATTTTGTGATTGGTGTGTTTTGTTTATTTTGCTACTAAACATAAATTTGTAGATGGTTTATTGCACAAGTAAGTGTTTGGGACTAACTGTTGTCTGTACTCTGCAGGTTCAGAGCGTTTCCTGAACACCAGAGAGAGTCCTCGACCTAGTGGCCAGGACCCAAACCTGTGGACAGTGGAGGATGTCATGCAGTTCATCAGAGATGTAGACCCTCAGCTTGGCCCACATGCAGACCTGTTCCGCAAACATGTACGTATAAGGATAATCCTGCACCTAACCCAAAGACATTTGAGAAGTGTGAAACAGTTAGGACAAGCCCAGAGCTTTCTCAGTTTGTGCTTCCTTACAGTTTGAATGTGGTAGATTCTGACTTTGTACCGGTCTCTAATCGTTGTCATTGGCATGTTTTAGGAGATTGACGGGAAGGCTCTCCTCTTGCTACGCAGTGATATGATGATGAAATACATGGGCCTGAAGCTCGGTCCTGCCCTCAAGCTCACCTTCCATATCGACAGACTAAAACAGGGTCGCTGATCTCGAAAGGCTCCAGAGCCATTTCCCAAATCCCCACTCCCCATCTACTCTTTTCAAGCACATGGCATACTGGCAACATATGCCCAATGAAGCATACTGAAGCATATTGTAGCAGTGGTCACCAGGCTTTCAGCCTGATCATTTCTGAATTTGTGTCCATTCGTCTGTTGTTACCTACAGTTGTATACAAATGTTTGGGCACCTCGGACCAAATTACATATTTTGTTGAATTTTGAAGAGAAGAGTAGTAAGCGCAACATATGCAGCAAATTATTTAAAATGTCGATATGCAGTTTTTTTAATTAACTTAAAAAAAAAAAAAAACTTTTAAAAATGTAAAAATAAAATAGTAATTGTGGCATGTGCAAAAGATTGGACACTCTACTAAGTCAGTACTTAGTAGCACCCCCTTTTGCAGGTACCTTTGTAGGTAGCTAGGAGTCTTTATATTCCCATTTTAGGTATTTTTACCCACTGTTCTTTGCCGAACTTTTCCAGTCCTGTGCCATCTTGAGCCGTCTTGCATGCAAAGCATGCTTATGATCTGCCCTCAGATTATCAATGATGTTTAAGTCAGGAGACTATGAAGGCCATTCCAAAGGCTTCAGCTTGCATTTCTTGAAGTCGATCTTTGTGGAGTTTGAGGTATGTTTTGGATCATTGTCCTGTTGTAGAAGCCAGTCTCGTTTCAGCTTCAGTTCCTTGACTGACTGTGTCACAGTTGCTTCCAGAATTTTCTGATATTTTCTGCAATCCATTCTTCCATCTAGCCATGCAATGTTACCAGTGCCACTGCCTGCCACACAACAGCAAAGCATAAATAGACACAGCCCCATGCTTAACAGCTAGTAAGATGTTCTTTACATGAAGTGCTGCACCTTCTTTCTCCAAATAGCACATTTCCAAAATGGCATATCTAAATGTTGTCTTGTATATTTTAGACATGAAGTCACAGGTAAGATTTCCTTCTAATGTCTCTTCCATGCAGGTCATGTTTGTCCAAATAATGCTGCACAGTAAAGTGGTTCAGTACCACTCCTGTGTCAGCTAAACCTTTATGCAGGTCTTTTGCTGACATATGAGGGGTTTGCTTTTCCAGGGCCATCTCCCAAACCCTAACTCCTTTTTTTGCCAGCATATGAGCAGTTCTGTCTAAAAGTTTCCTTTGTCTTCCAGATCTTGCTTTGACATCCATGGTTCCCCTTAACTGCCATTTTTTTATGACGTATTGGACAGTGTAAATTGCAAGCTGTAAGTGCCTCGGTGTCTTTTTAATAGCCTTGCCTTGCTTTGTAAGAGCTTTTCAGATCCTCAGCCAGCTGCTTAGAGGAGCTCAAGGTTGTTGAGTGTTAGCACGAAGTTTAAGGAGTCAGAGAATTTATTTGCTCTGGAATCAGCTGATAATTCCTAATGACAGTTCTTGACCTGTCTGACCAGTCCTAATGAGTTAAATAAGGCCTAATGAGTTAATTCAGGGCTCATACGGTCATGAAATCTTGGAAAAGTCATGGAATATAGTAAGTGCTAGAAAAATCTTGGAATTTCCTGGACTTCTCCCCAATGCGGTTTGTCATCTCATCAGTTTTGATGCACTGAAGAATCTACATTGCGAAAAAACATACCATAGGTAAAGTTCACAAAATTAAATGGTTCTTACCTGTCAAATATATCGCTAAAATTATTACTAAAACAGGAATTTATATGTCAGTGTCACAGTATTTTGGTATAGATGATATATCGTCCAGCATGCTAAATGTTTGCCATGAAAATTTAATTTAATGCCATGGAAAAGTCATGAAGAAGTCATGGAATTCCACTGCTTAAAAAGTGTATTAAGCCTGTTAATTAGGTTCTGAGAGTTTACAGTGGAAAGGTTGTCCAAAGTTTTGAACATGCCAGAGCATATTCTATAAAGGAAATATGCATTAACATTTGAAGGAAGAAAAATAAAATGGTTTGTTGCAGAGGTTATGTTTACTTTACATTTCAAAAATCAACAAAATATGTAATTTGGCCTAGGGTGCTCAAAGATTTGCATAAATATGTACATGTTCCTCCTTGTTCTTGTCCGTTTTGGTGCCACATGTAGCGCCCTTCTCCCCGGTCTCATGTTAGGGTCAGCTGTCCCGCGCACATTTCTCATTATGCTGTTCCATCCTGAATGTTCTGTATGTTCTTGTGTCTGCCAAGGTCTCGAGTTATGCAGGATCAGATCCGTGTGGACAGTATCTAGGCCTTTTTTGGGCCTCCGTTTTTAAGACATATCTTTATTTTTATTGTGTATTTTACAGCCCCAGTCAACAAGGATTTTTCTATAAAAATCAGTTTTCTTTAATAAACTCAAACACTAGATCTCTCCCACCGGACTTTGGGATTGGTTCTGACTGATGTCTCCTTCAGAGACACTTTTTCATGCTTAATACTGTACTTTATACATAACACCTAACTTGCAATTACTGCCATGTTAATGTGTATTTTGTATTGTCTTGATGTTTACATGGTGTCTGTTATTTGTACTTTTTTAATTTTTTATACTATATTGTTAGAGTGTTATACTCAGTAGGCTAAAAATAAAAAAATATAAAGTCTTCTAAAACTTGTAGAACTTTGTTTTATTTTGCGCATCATTTAAAAACTGACTGAATAGAATAAGAACAGAGTATGATGAACGTGCATTGAATTTACTGCCAAAAATGTCACCCACACTGTTTCTACCAGCAAATCAACACAAGGGGGCAGCAGGTTATTTTTATTGTCTTTCAGGGTCTGCGTGTGGGAGCCTGTTTAGAAATGTGCTGCAGTAATCAGGCACTTCTTAACTTTCATCCTCTGCAGTTTGGATACAGCATGGTAAATATCTTAATAGAGAATATTTTGGCTCCCGTAGGGGTAATGATCACTTTAGCTGTATGGCTCCACAGTCTTTTACCAAATACACACTTGTGTAACAACAGCAATGCTTCACAGTAGCTGCAAAATGAACTTTCCTGTTTTAATCATTGGACCTTCTTTTGCAAGCATTGCATGTGGCTGGACTGTCCTTCATACCTACCATTACAGTGCTTAATGCTAGCCTGATAACATTTCATTAAATATGTATTTCTAGATCGATGTTTTGGTAGACTTTTCGTGTGAATTGGTGTTGGTGTTGACAAGATAGGGCACATGGCCCTCACTTGCTGGCATACGCGCATGTAGACTGCAAAGAGAGATGCAACATACTGTAAATCTTACCACATCCTCACAGCAAACAGGAAGGAACCTCTAAGAGATCAGTTAACTGACCTAAGCCACAAAGCTTGTGTGTGTGTGTGTGTGTGTGTGCGTGTGTGTGTGTGCTTTGTAGTAGTTTATGTGCATGAAAGTCACATGATTCACTTTCATCTTTTAGTAGTGGATGTATTGGGAAAGCCCTCTGACCAGAAATGTTTCACAGTATCCCAGCATTGAATATTGGCCATATTGATACAAGGCCATAATGTATTACCGTCATATTTTTTTAGATGCAATTAGCACATGACGAAGACTAACACTTAGTCAAGACAGCCAAAATCGAGACCTGTGGGAGTCATTCAGAATCTTCCAATGGAAATAATCAAGAGCAGTGGGTCATCTGAATACGTATCGTATCATCTAGTAACATGCACACATCTAAGCTAAAACTGTCCCAGTGCTGTGTACTGTTTGTGTAGTCCAGTAGTGTATTTAGGGCTGCTATGATTACTTGATTAAATTTTATTTTGAAAAAATAATAACATTGATTGGCAATGATTAGTTGCCAGTGGTATGAAGGTTATATATGTTTTATATTCTCCTACTGATCTTTTTCAAATAAATAGACTGATTGACACAAATGTATGCATTTTTGTCTACATTACTTATTACTAATATTGTTTTAGAAAGACTAAAAGTCTTTTTTTAATCTTTAAAAAAATAGTTTGTCATTTTGCAATATAGTATTTTGGAATCTTTAAAAAGCTATGAATGGTTATAACTATATGACTATGCATTTGCTATTGTTAAGTCTGTGTTTATTGTTTGAATAAGTAATTAGTTGTTAAAAGCATCAAAACAATGAGTAGATCCCTCTTGTCACTGGGGTGGTACCCTGAAGAGTACATCTCAGTATCTTTAGTCAGGGAACATAATTGTATCCATTGAAATTATATTTTCTAAGTTGTATTGATTCCACACACCCCGTCTCGTCTCCAGGCTTTTTATTTTATTGTTCTGTTTTAAAACATCAGGTTATGAAAAGGTACAAATGCATACTTTTCCACTGGGAAAAACTTATTTAGGGCACACAACTGGACCTTAAAACCACTGCTGTATGTCTGAGGGCATATTTACATTGTTTGTATCTTGATGAACAAAAAATGTACCTGCACAGAACCTTTATTTCTAACAGTGTATGTTGAAATATTGAGTATCTCATAATGATGCCTTAATATGTCAAAATTGTGACTTATGTTCTCAAAACCTTTTATGAGATAATAACTTACTGTGTTGAAATAATGAATAAATATAATAAATAATAAAATGTTTTGAATTTTGACTAATTTTCTTAAAATCCTGACTTGAAATATGTTAAAATAATGAGTTAGTATCTTCCAACATTGACTCACTATGTCAAAATACTTACGTCTTATTTTATCGAAACGTTGCAATAATGACTCAATTTATCAAAATATTGTCTTACTACATTGAGATAATCACTGTGTTAAAATAATGAAATAATACTTGTCATTATTTTGAGAAAATAAGTGATTATTTTGAGATATTACTTCAATATCTGACATACTGCTGCATTAGAAAGAGAAAAAAACGGGCATTTTTTCTCCTTTACCTGACAGCAATAGTCCAAAGTGTATTTATGTTAATGGTATCACCATTTCCATTGTCAGATCCATTTCTGATGAACTCAGGGCTCAGTGGAGTCCAGCAGGGAGCCGCTAGATACAGTGTCGATCAACCAATACGGGCTGTTCATTTGAGCCTCTCTAAACTCTGCCTGTACTGACTGGAAGCAGGTTCACCATGCAGACAGGAATGGGGCTCATTTCTGCTGTGTAGAGCCTCTTCCATACGCTCTGACAGCCCTGTTTCCCACATACAAGCCCTGATACATATCTCATCTCAACTTCCACAGATGGCCCTGTGAATGCTGGAGAGAGGTTGCCATGACGTTGCAGAAATGATGATGGAGCTGCACGTCATATGTCAGCGTGATAGTTATCTCCGACAGGTGATCTCAAACCCATTCAATCTGCTCTGCCTTAGCCTGCCAATGTAGCGCTTGGGAGACATTTGGAGTGTGTGCTTCTCTGCTGACCTGGCTTGAATTCCTCCTGCTTACAGGACACATAAAGTAAACGTCTCAGAACACAGCCCAGAGGCCAAGAGCTGACCACACTCAGAGCAGGCTCTCTGCAGCCATGTGCTGGTCAGATTAAGCCACATAGGAGCTTAGAGCCAACCCCACAAAGACACAGTGGAGTGACGCGCACACATAAACAACAACAAACACAGTCACTCCTGCCTCCACCTGTTCTAGCTGGCCAGGCCAAGGGCTACGCTTAGCACAAGAAAATGAATAATTTACACATTGCCCTTAACATCAAAGGCCCGCAGTAATAAACGCATGAAGGGGGATCGCTAGTGAAGCAAGTCTCCACATGCAGCCTCTCTGTGTCCTCACCTTTCTCCACAAGTTATGCTGGCTTAATTAAACATTTTTAATATAAATTAGCATATCATCCATTTTTGTAGATTTTTATTTTTCTAAATCATTTGAGGGCAGCAGCTGTCCTTTACACTGTGTAAAATTTCATGATGAATGGACCAATAGAAATGTTCCAAAATCACTTTTAATGAATTCTTTTTGCAGTGGTTTACACTGAAAGTAAAGAATATTTTTGCCTTCTACTATAAAGTTTACTATTTTGGGTATACATGTTTTTCTTTGGATAGCAGCTGTGTTCTATTTGTCAGTTTTAGCCACATATTCATACCCTCCGTTTTTCTTGTGTCTTATTTTTCCTCCAAACTTTTGACATTTGTGTAGTTTTCTGTACCAAAACCAGTCATAATTACTTAATATATTTTTTTTACATGATAATTTCCAAACTCTCTTCATTCCTTAGGATTAAACAGGCTGTTACTCGACCTGTTACTGTACCTTTAAGAATGATAAGCGAGCTATGTTCTGATTGGCTGCCCTTATGTAAAAAGCAATCAGGGCTGAAACACTCTTTATAACTTCAGCGTGAAAGAGCATGGCTAAACTACTGTAGGCTGTATAGGAAGATACGTGTAAAAGTGTTTGTGACATTACAGAAATTATTCCTTCAGAACAGGCTGTTTTTGCAGCTTAGTTTCCACATATATGGACTGTATGGACTGGAAAGTGAACAGCTTTTGAAACAAACAGTGTTTATATACTGCGTCAAACTCTGCGTCAAAAACTGTTTTTCATGATATGGACTATTTTAACATAGTAAAAAAGTACCTTTTACCTTTAGTATCAGAGACAGTTTTTTATTTGAATTGTTTGGATGACATGAAACAGAACATATCACAACACAGATATGCACAATTGACCAACAGAGCGAACACTGACTCACACTGTTGTCTCTCCTCTCTTTCGTGGACGAACTTTATGCAAAAGAGCTGAGTGCCGACCAACCAGATTGTTGGTGACTCATAGTCAAGCTGCACACACACATCCAATGGGAGATTATTACAATAACAAAATACAAACTCCACTCTAGAGAAGAGCACACATGGATCCTTGCTGTGCTCAAATATTTTAAAGTTCTGCTCTTTTGTAATATTTCTGTTATTGCTTTTAGCAGTTGAAGTTAATAATACTGAAATGTGGGAGTGCTGCAGCCCCCTCAGCGCCCCCACTTCCCAGATGCCTGACCAGGTTTATTCTGAGGAAAACGATAGCAGTGTACTTGTGACAGTTCTTGGTAATAATGCCATAACTACACCCTTGCTGTGATGCTAGCGCTCATCAGCTCTCAAACCTTTCAAATGTTTGAAGCACCCCTTGAGCAAATGATTTTCAATATATGCTTTAAACAATACTTTGGAAAAGAAAATGGTCACTACGTAGGCAAAACCTGCTCTTCATACCGAGGAGTCCGCTTTGATGAGCATGGTGTTGGAAAGTATACCGAATGTATTAGGAGGTTTTATGTTCAACAAACCTTTGAAGACATTCTTTTCTACTTAATTAAAAATGAATTGAAATACATTGTTATTTGTTATTAAAAGCCCATGTTGACTGTCATTTATATTGATTATATTACTGCTCCTATTACTTTTACCAGTTACCAAAACATACACTGCCTGATGGAAAGGATGTTTTGCCAATATCAGGACCTGAACATGTACGTCAGCCATCCGCAGGCCGGTGATCCGTATGACTAAAGATGCACTGCTGCACTCAGGCAAAAAGATCAGGAAGCGCGGATCATTCTAAATCAATTTCTCATATCTATGCATGAACAGAGAAAGGGGCACAGAAGTCACAGTCGTTTCCCAGTGCTGAACACATTTTCACA